CCTGGTTGTAAACCTATTAGCGGGTCGTCTCCCAGGGAGAACTAGTAGGAGCTATGGGAAATAGAGCAAAGCCTATTCGTCGTCTCTCCCATCATCATCTCTCCCCTTCCCCATCATCTCCACGTTCACGTGATCCAATTGGCCACGTGTGAAGCAGTTCTCGAATAATTGCCATTGGAACAAAAACACACCAGTAACCGTAAGACAAATTGCACAAAACCGTAATATATTTCAAGTCATAGTACACTGTGAAACTTTAATATATGCAGCCTTAGCTTGAGGACGGGTTGGGAACGGCTTCGTGGTAACTGCTGGGGACTTCATGGAAACTGTAGGCGCTGATCGTAACATGGTTTAATTTTGGATACTTTTCATTACCAAGGGTATTTTGGTACGTTCTAGTAATTAGTGGGAACCGTCGACCAGCACCAGGAGACAAAGCAGGATATGACGGACAGGTTGGGACGAAATTTCCCAACATGTGATGGGAGTGAGACGGTGCGCTGAGGTAAGCAAGAGGTCAGAGAAATGGGGTCGACTGAGGTATACGTCACCCGCCGCCTGGGCTGGTGGCTGCTTCCCGCCAACACCGCCCGCCGCCTGGGCTGGTGGTTGCTTCCCGCCAACACCGCCCGCCGCCTGGGCTGGTGGCTGCTTCCCGCCAACACCGCCCGCCTCCTGGGCTGGTGGTTGCTTCCCGCCAACACCGCCCGCCGCCTGGGCTGGTGGCTGCTTCCCGCCAACACCGCCCGCCGCCTGGGCTGGTGGCTGCTTCCCGCCAACACCGCCCGCCTCCTGGGCTGGTGGTTGCTTCCCGCCAACACCGCCCGCCGCCTGGGCTGGTGGCTGCTTCCCGCCAACACCGCCCGCCTCCTGGGCTGGTGGCTGCTTCCCGCCAACACCGCCCGCCGCCTGGGCTGGTGGCTGCTTCCCGCCAACACCGCCCGCCGCCTGGGCTGGTGGCTGCTTCCCGCCAACACCGCCCGCCGCCTGGGCTGGTGGCTGCTTCCCGCCAACACCGCCCGCCGCCTGGGCTGGTGGCTGCTTCCCGCCAACACCGCCCGCCTCCTGGGCTGGTGGCTGCTTCCCGCCAACACCGCCCGCCGCCTGGGCTGGTGGCTGCTTCCCGCCAACACCGCCCGCCGCCTGGGCTGGTGGCTGCTTCCCGCCAACACCGCCCGCCGCCTGGGCTGGTGGCTGCTTCCCGCCAACACCGCCCGCCTCCTGGGCTGGTGGCTGCTTCCCGCCAACACCGCCCGCCGCCTGGGCTGGTGGCTGCTTCCCGCCAACACCGCCCGCCTCCTGGGCTGGTGGCTGCTTCCCGCCAACACCGCCCGCCGCCTGGGCTGGTGGCTGCTTCCCGCCAACACCGCCCGCCGCCTGGGCTGGTGGCTGCTTCCCGCCAACACCGCCCGCCGCCTGGGCTGGTGGCTGCTTCCCGCCAACACCGCCCGCCTCCTGGGCTGGTGGCTGCTTCCCGCCAACACCGCCCGCCGCCTGGGCTGGTGGCTGCTTCCCGCCAACACCGCCCGCCGCCTGGGCTGGTGGCTGCTTCCCGCCAACACCCCCCGCCGCCTGGGCTGGTGGCTGCTTCCCGCCAACACCCCCCGCCGCCTGGGCTGGTGGCTGCTTCCCGCCAACACCGCCCGCCGCCTGGGCTGGTGGCTGCTTCCCGCCAACACCGCCCGCCTCCTAGGCTGGTGGCTGCTTCCCGCCAACACCATCACCACTACCATCACTGTCTCCCTCACCGCTCAGCTTGCCCTGCTTGCCTCCACTACCCTTGTCGACCAGGCCAACTCTTAAGTTGAAATATTAAGTTGAAATGATTGAGAAACCCGGCCTGCATCTGTTGGATGTCTTGAAGTTTGTTTATTGTGGGTGAATACTGAAGTCCGTCAGGCGACTTTTGGCACTTAAGCTCATGAGAGACAAGTCTCTAGACATTTATTGCACAATATATCAAACTGTAAAGAAACTGGAAGCCACGGGAATATAATCACAGGCGTTTGATAGAGAAATGAGAGGGGTCGGTGGTTGGAGAGGACGTGCCTCTTCACTCCAGAGCAGCTAAAGGCACGTACGACACGGACAATTACCCTGCCACTCCCACACTTCTCATCTTCCTCCGCCGTCACGGTAATCCTTATACCTAAATACACTTCAGTTATTGGCCCAATTTAATTATTTACAAGCTCATAAAAGGATAATTTAACCTGTTTTTTTTTCAAGGTATAAAGGTAATTATTAACTTCCGTTGCAGAGGTATGTAACGGGACCCATCAGTTCACAGAGTGTGTCCGCCTGCACACACTTTTCCCGGCGGGAGCCTAGCGATAACCAAGCCAAGATTCTCTCGGTGATAAAAATCAGGGGAATGTGTGTGTGTGTGTGTGTGTGTGTGTGTGTGTGTGTGTGTGTGTGTGTGTGTGTGTGTGTGTGTGTGTGTGTGTGTGTGTGTGTGTGTGTGTACTGGCTTGCCTATGCTTGCGGGGGTTCAGCTTCTGGGTGGCGCGTCTCGCGTGTCAACTGGGCGCTTGTTGTGACAGCTTTTGAGTCCGTCTCCCACACGGATGGCATCATTCACTTGGTCTCCGTTATCGTAGCTTTCCTCTCACTGGGATCGTTTGCCTCTTGTTTGAAGTACTCCCCTGCTCACCTTAGCACACCTCTATCACCAGCTAGATAAACAAGCTTGTTTATCTAGTTTTGGTAAGAGTTTCTTTGTGTTCCAAAAATAAGTGCGTGCGTGTGACACATCAGATAAAAAGTTCAGGTTTCTCTAAGTATTGTGACGTCACTGGCAACAGAGAGGAGGCTCTCCTGTGCTTCCTCCCTGACACTGTTATATGTAATGCAAGTTATATGTACGTAATGTTATATATATGTAAGTTATATATATGTAATGTAATGTGATATGAGTAATGCTTACTTCCGCTCACCCGTATACTGCTTAGGGTGTGGTGGGGTGTGTTGTTGTGGTGTGGTGGGGGTGTTGTGGTGGTGTGTGGTGTTGTGGTGGTGTGTGGTGTTGTGGTGGGGGTGGTGTGTTGTGGTGGTGTGTGGTGTTGTGGTGGTGTGTGGTGTTGTGGTGTGGTGGGGGTGTTGTGGTGGTGTGTGGTGTTGTGGTGGGGGTGGTGTGTTGTGGTGGTGTGTGGTGTTGTGGTGGTGTGTGTTGTGGTGGTGAGGTGTTGTGGTGGGTGTGTGTGGTGTGGGGGTGTATGTTGTGGTGGTGAGGTGTTGTGGTGGGGGTGTGTGTTGTGGGGGTGGTGAGGTGTTGTGGTGGGGGTGTGTGTTGTGGTGGTGAGGTGTTGTGGTGGTGAGGTGTTGTGGTGGTGAGGTGTTGTGGTGGTGGTATGTGTTGTGGTGGTGAGGTGTTGTGGTGGGGGTGTGTGTTGTGGTGGGGGTGTGTGTTGTGGGGGTGGTGAGGTGTTGTGGTGGGGGTGTGTGTTGTGGGGGTGGTGAGGTGTTGTGGGGGTGGTGAGGTGTTGTGGTGGGGGTGTGTGTTGTGGGGGTGGTGAGGTGTTGTGGTGGGGGTGTGTGTTGTGGGGGTGGTGAGGTGTTGTGGTGGGGGTGTGTGTTGTGGGGGTGGTGAGGTGTTGTGGTGGGGGTGTGTGTTGTGGGGGTGGTGAGGTGTTGTGGTGGGGGTGTGTGTTGTGGGGGTGGTGAGGTGTTGTGGTGGGGGTAGTTTGTTATTAAATAGTTCCCTTCTGCAGTTACTTGAATATTATTATTATTTTACTCTGTTTTATTAATATATATTTTTGTTTCTATCGTCATTTAGTGTTTTATTATTAGCAGAAGAAATAATAGTGAGGCAATTGGGAACCACAGCAGCAACACTGTCAGTATTACAAAGTTAGTGGAGGTAATAGTGATAGTGTTAACACATTAATACTAGTAATAATGTAATATTAGTAACTTGAGCTGCTCTAACAGTAGTACAAGTAACGCTGGTACTAGAAACAGTGGTGATGATAGAAGTAGCAGGACTGGTAGTAATATTTATCTAGTAACCAATGTATATACTTCAAGTAAGCTTGAAGTATACGGATAACGGGCACAGCACCGCTCCTGTGCCAGGTAAGTCCACTACGGGTTCACCATTGCCCGTGCTACTTGCCCCGCTCCTGTGCCAGGTAAGTTACGGGCTCGCCATAGCCCGTGCTACTTGGAACTTGTTCCGAGTAACTGAATCTATAATAACAACAACAACAGGGTAACGGGGTGAGGATAGCTTGAGCTGCTACCTCATCCCTTTGTGTGTATTTTACCTCAAACTTATTTCAATTTCAAGTAAGCTTGCATGCAAGGAAGGACACGATTGAGCGCGTAGCCACAGGTGGGATCACTACTTGAGCAATGCGTCACGGCATTGAAATCTTAGGTTGGCGGTGGAGGGGAGGTGCCGTGGCAGCCACGGCTTGTACTCTACCAGCCGTGACTGCCAGCCTCTCAAGCAGCAATGCTGCACAAATGGTGATCTGTCATGTTGCAACGAACAACTGGAAAGAACATTGACGGATGAGTATACCAGGAGAGGCCAGAAACCACGATGAATTAGCGGACCTTGAACAGGAAACTGTTCCTAATAATTGTATATGTGAGAATGATGAAACAAACTTGTCTCTGAGAATGCAACATTAAAACTATGGACGTCAGCAACAAACAATGAGGTTTACATCAATTACTCTTAATTTGAAAAATGTTCATTGGTTCATATCCGAGTGTACCAGGAATTACTGAGATCACACCCTTTAATATAACCAGGTAGTGGGTAGATATAAAGATGCAGTGTATAAAATCATAACAAGGGTGACAGGTAAGGGTGTATTGAGAGATCTTGGCCCACAAGGGAGCAGGAGATGGGGAATGTGAAGGAGGAACACATTCACACACACACACACACACACACACACACACACACACACACGGATGAGAGAGCACCAGGTGTGTTCCAAAGTGTACCGTTGAAGGTAAACTAAACTGATCCTACTTACCATTATCAAACACCGACACATTGTCTTGCCGTGCACAACACTCCTGTATTTCTAACAGTAACCAACGCCAGGATTAGCTTATATATTTTTCTAAGTTTATCCAAGTATGTGTGTTTCTAATTCATTAACACAAAATTTCCACCACTTCACATGAGCCTTTTATTCCTGTTGGAAAGCACACACACCGATCTAGTCTTTTGTTAAGTGTAAATAATTTCTCATGTGCTTGCCAGTAGCGGATAGCGTGGGGGTTCTTTACAAGGGCGTGGGCGGTGTGAGGAGATGTGAACGTTACGGGGGACTGAGCACTACTGAAGAACGGCTCTACACTGGTAGTCACGCTAGCAACACTCCAGAGAATGAACCAGGGCGAGAACCGCTGCGTGCGACCTGCGGCAAGGCTGGAAGACTACTGGAGGTGGAGACGAGGTGCAAGTGGGCCACCGCGCCCCCATCCCCGTGTCGAGGTGCCGGAGGTGGTGGTGTTACCGGTGATGGTGCTACGGCGGTTATAGTGTTGACTGCGGCAGCGGCTGACGCCCGAGTTGAGGGCACGAACGTGAGCCATGACTTGCGAGGCATGGCTGGTGGGGTACGGTACATGATTTTTGCGCAAGAGGTCCGGGTTGGAGTCCCGGTGGCACCGAGCAGTTTCACAGACTCCTTATGAAGGGCATGATAAGTATTCGGCTTCGTATTGTATTGCTCTGTTCCAATTCCCGATGGCCCAAGTGAATAATAAGTATACATTATGAAAATAAAACATAGAACAGGCGTTCCATGTTTGTTTGTTTGTTCCTCTGGCTGACACGGAGACCTACAGCCTCGGACGAAAGACAAGAAAATACGCACTCGTGGGTGCCTTGTTTCTCCAATTATTTCAAGTTTATTACGAGTTTCTCCTAACACCTATCCTCCTCCATTTTTTCCATTTGTCTCTATTTTTGTCTTTGACATAGTGAAAGATTATAGATTGAGGATTACAGTGAGCAAACTAAGGGCTATTCATGCCCGTGCCACCTCTTGAGTGGCTTAATCTTCATCAATCAAAGGTTGTGAATCTCTCACAGCTCGCCAGATCTTGAGGAAGAAAGGAACGTGACAGGCACTTGCACTCTAGACCACCACACTACAGGCGCTGAAACGAGAAACTGACAGCTTTTATAGTGTAAATGATCCTAGAATCCAGTTCTTTTAGAGCTCATGGCACACTTGGCCTCAAGGGATCTCGGATGCTATGGAGACACATATTGACCGATGGCTCAGTTCTCTATACTTGCTGGATTTTGTTATATAGCTTCGCCATGGTAGGCGGCACGACCCACCTGCTCGACGCTGGAGGGGAAGCACGCTTGGGTGTTCGACGGGGCCTCTCCTGTAGGTGGTGCACGGAGCAAGTCCTGGACCATTCTGTGTACCGTTAGGCTCTCCCACCTGGACTGTTGTGTTATCTGGTCTTGTCTGGATGTTGGGCTACAAAAAGAATACCATTGATTGGAGCTTTCAATGAAGGCAGGATCGTATATCTTTGCCATGATACAAACGTGTTCCGGTAGTATTTTTATTGTATTTTACAAGGCCATCATCTGAGAGGCTGTGTGGACATCAAGGCCACCAAATCTAACGAGGAACAGTTCAGTTTTGTACATAGGATCTCCTGGATTACAAGTCTTCAGCGGAGGCACGATCAAGTGCGTGTTTTTCATTATCATTACCATGTGACCTACTTTCGTTGGGCGAGGAGTTAAGAACCTAATGAAAATATGGAATAATATTATGAAAGGATATATAGATGTGTGTGTGTGTATGACACATGGTGACGAGTGTAGCTAGTCAATGAAGCCTCGTTACATTCTTCCTCCAATGAGTGTCTGCTCTCTATTTCAAAATTCTATATAGAGTATATAAAAGGTCGCTTATGTTCCATACCAGTGCCATGAAACTCTTCACATCTTGAACAACAACACGTGGCCCCAGAACATAGGGAATATAGAGGTAACTTCTGTATACATGTTGGGCGATGTTCACTTTCTCGTCACAGTGAACGCCCAGGCTTCCCACACACTGTACACGCACGATAACGCTGCTTCATATCACAGTGAACGCTCAGGCTTCCCACACTGTACTCACCTAGTTGTGCTTGCGGGGGTTGAGCTCTGGTTCTTTGGTCCCGCCTCTCAACTGTCATTCAACTGGTGTACAGGTTCCTGAGCCTATTGGGCTCTTATCATATCTACACTTGAAGCTGTGTAGGGAGTCAGCCTCCACCACATCACTTCCTAATGCATTCCATTTGTCTACTACTCTGACACTGAAAAAATTCTTTCTAATGTCTCTATGGCTCATTTGGGCGCTTAATTTTCACCTGTGTCCCCTAGTGCGTGTGTCACTTGTGTTAAATAGTCTGTCGTTATCTACCCTATCAATTCCTCTGAGAATCTTGTATGTGGTGATCATGTCCCTAACTCTTTTGTCTCCCAGTGACGTGAGGTTTCATTTCCGTAGTCTCTCCTCGTAGCTCATACCTCTCAGTTCGGGTACTAGTCTGGTGGCAAACCTTTGAACCTTTTCCAGTTTAGTCTTATGCTTGACTAGATATGGACGCCATGCTGGAGCCGCATACTCCAGGATTGGTCCGTCATATGTGGTATACAAAGTTCTGAATGATTCCTTACACAAGTTTCTAAATGCCATTCTTATGTTAGCCAACCTGGCATATGCCGCTGATGTTATCCTCTTTATATGGGCTGCAGAGGGGACAGGTCTGGCGTGATATCAACCCCCCAGGTCTTTCTCTCTGACTCTTGAAGTATTTCATCTCCCAAATGATTCCCTGTAAATGGCCTCCTGCTCCCTACACCTGTCTTCGTTGCATTACATTTGCTTGGGTTAAACTTTAACAACCATTTGTTCGACCATTCCTGCAGATGTCCAAGTCTTCTTGAAGCCTCAAGCTGTCCTCCTCTGTCTTAATCCTTGTCATAATTTTGGTGTCGTCAGCAAACATTGAGAGGAATGAGTCTATACCCTCTGGGAGATCATCTATGTATATCAGAAACAGGATAGGTCCGAGTACAGGTCCCTATGGGACCCCACAGGGTAGAGACGTTTTGGCAAATTTAATTTTTGTTGTTTTTTATCTGACGGTTCTGTTCACCTCGTAAGTTGACCAACTGTTGGAGGTTGCATCCTGGGGAAGGGCAGGAATTGGCCAAATGGAATCTCTTTAATGCTAAACAGTCTTCCTGTCCCCCGACTCTAAAAGCAAAAACCAAAACGTCTCCCTGGCGCAGTGTGTTACGGCCCTATTGGGTCGCAACTGGGTTCTTTCTCCGATGTCAATAGAGTTTGGGTATCCGGCCCCAAGTTAGTAGTGGCTTTCAAGGGATGTGTTCCGTAACGCAAGTAAATTAAAGGGGAAGGGAGACAAAGGCAAAAACTTAAATATATAATTATCACCGTCACCATAAATAATATATATTTGATCACACGGGGGAGGTATTAACACTATTATGTACAATATGGTCTTCCTCTGGAGACGCGGAGTGTTCCACGGTGCTCAACGATGCGTAGCCCTTGGTCCTCTTGTGGCCTCGCGACGAATCCTTCGATTCTCTCGAGTCTACCCTGGCCACAGGCCAGCCAAATCACAGCTCCACTGGGGGCACCGTCGTGGAGGCCATCAACCACAAATCCAGCCTGTAGCTGGCAGGTTCCAATCAGTTCCGCTGGTTAGGCCACTCCACGACCGATACTAGGGTTGCGAGCCCTAGGCAGGAGCCTCGTGTGACTTCACAGGTCACTCTCCTCACCACAACACCCCAGTGGTTAGTCTTCTCCACTAGTCAGCCCCGGGTACGACAATCCCTGGATCTGCCACCTCACAGGCAGGCTAACACAACAGTGTTCATCCGGGGGGGGGGGGGGGTGACTCACAGTATCAGCGGCAAATGCGTGGAGGTTCTACGGCTGCCTTGGGTAGACTGATCCAACTTCCATTACAGCAGTCCCAGGTCGACTCTGTAATCGGACACGTCATCAGTAATAGGGACACTCTAGGGCACCTCACTTACAGGCTTAGACACAAACGCCCACCTATCCACTCCATAGATGGCGTTGCTGTCTAAGCTCCACCTCACCAGAGGTCAGCAGCGGCTGTGTTATGAGCTGATCAGGACGGGAAACTAGCCCTTGTGGCCAGTATATCTCGTCCTCACTAGATGGCACCGTCCATTTGGAGGGGGTTTCGGGAGCTGACCCACAGATGGCGCGGTCGTCACTGCTCCATGCTTGGGCGCTGGGCTCGGGTCCGTAACACAGTGGTAAAGCACTCGTCGGGCGCTTTGCTAGCGCTTTGGCCTGGGTTTCGTATCCTGGCTGGGGAGGATTGAGTAGGCTCCCATATGCAGGCGATGAGTCACAATAACGTGGCTAAAGTATGTTGACCAGACCACACACTAGAAGGTGAAGGGACGACGACGTTTCGGTCCGCCCTGGACCATTCTCAAGTCGATTGTGGACCATTCTCAAGTCGATTGTGGACCATTCTCAAGACAATCGACTTGAGAATGGTCCAGGACGGACCGAAACGTCGTCGTCCCTTCACCTTCTAGTGTGTGGTCTGGTCACCATAGGCTCTAATCCTTAACCGTATGCCTCTGTTCACCCAGCAGTGAATGGGTACCTGATTATTAAACGATTTGGCAGGTATAGTATTACAGAGAAAACAATATTAGGATTAAGGACCTGCTCGAAACGCTATGCGTGCTAGTAGCTTTACAAAAATGTAAGAACTCGTGTCTAAATAAATCAACACAAATATTTTCGTGTATAAATTTATCAAAACACAACACTAATAATATTTTGCCCGAAACGCTATGCGTACTAGTGGCTTTAGGTATTGTATGTACTAACTCTATCTATAAATCAATCAGAATGTTGAAAGGAAATGTACATGTTTATCTCTCAGAATGTTTGGTAATGTTTGTTGTTTGTGATGTGTTTATATGTATGTATTAACACGATGTACTGAACGGGGTGAGAATAGCTTGAGCTACCTCATCCCTTTGTGTGTATTTTACCTCAATAAACTTATTTCAATTTCAATCAGAATGTTTGTAACTCTGCATCTATGTATGTACTTTTTCTAAATCAAATAGTATTATTATTGTTATTATTATTATTATTTATAACGAAAGCGCGGATGACGCGAGGCATTTGTTTGATTGTTTTGGTCGAACGTTTCAAAACAAATCTCTGGTGGCGGCGGCGGCTGCCTCTTGGTCCGGCCGTTTCTAGAGTAACTACCCTCACATTGTGCAGGTGGAACCACCTCGTTATCTCAGGCCACGAAGATGACCAATACGCTTGAGAGTTACGTCAACCGTATCCTTCTAGTACCTTAACGGTGGCCTTAATGGCTACTGCTGTGTGGGCCCAGTGGCATAGTAGCCTTCTGGTGGGGGGGCTACAGCCACGCGTGGTATTTTTTTGGTAATAATGTTTTATTCCAATTTAAATACTGTACAGCATAGTCAGTAGATCATTGCTTAGTGTTTGTCGACCATTGTGTGGGTTTAGTGGTTGTGTTCGCTAGGGGTTGGCTAGTGCTATAATCACTGTGAATTATACATTGTTGCCTAGGTTTTGGTGCTATCATCACAGGCATTTACTATGATTCATGTATACTGTTTATACAAACGTTCAGTGGATAGTACAGTACTATGGTAGGATGGTGGAGCAAATTGGATATGGGTAACTTTGTTGCCTAGACGAGGGAGGGAATTATCAAGGGTGAGGGCTGAGCCATTATGACTATATACCACTGGGAAGGGGTCAGGTTGGGATGAGACAGAGGGGGGAGGGGAAAAAGAATGGTGCCCAACCACTTGGACGGTTGGGGATTGAACGCTGACCGGCATTAGACGAGCTCACCAACAGATTTTAAAGCCTTACCTAATGCAATCGAACCAAACTAACCAGACCTAACATATCCTTATCCATCCTAACCTAACAATATTTACAACTTTCAACATGTGGGAAAATGAGCATTCTCAAAATTTCCTGTGTGCAGTTTGACTATATTTCAGTAAAAACTCTTGAATGACGAGAATCTGGGCCGGGACTCTAATTGGTCCCAACTGTACTATCGGGACCAATTAGGGTCCCGATAGTACAGTCGGGTTCATTCTTGACTCACATTCGAGAATCCTGAGTTCAAAAACCAGGTGGGACAGAAATGGTTGGGCACGTTTCCTGTCTCTTAATAATAATAATAATAATAATTAATAATAATAATTTTTATTTAGGTAAAGGTACATACATAAAGAGATTTTACAAAGTTTGTTGGCTTTATAGATAGAGCTAATACATACAATGCCTAAAGCCACTATTACGCAAAGCGTTTCGGGCAGGACGTCTTAACGTCCCTGTCCACCTAGCAGTAAATAGGTACCCATGAGTTAGTCAGCTTGTTGTTGGGCTGCTTTCTGAGGTGTCATTAATTCGACATTGGGTGGGGGGGGGGGGACCTTGATATAAACCTAACATGTACTGTATGTATAAAGTGGCTACCTGTTCCCTGACAATGATTGAATGAGTTATTATAATTGTAATGCAGTGCTCCATTGGGTGGGATTTAAGTCACAATCCATAAGAGTTTCAATTCATGTAACTCTTGTTCCAACTTCCTCCAAAACAATATTAATATGGCCTTATCTAATTTGTCCAGAAAGTCTAGGTCTTGGCCATGTGTGTAGGGGGTGAGGTTTAAAAGACGCAGCTTGACTTGAAAGTCTTTAGCCGAAGGTTATCTAGGTTCACATTTTGCTACCATAAAGTTCACTTTATTTCCCTTTCAAATAATACTTAGAATTTAAAGTTAAACTATTGTGAATACTAGTACAGCAATCACTATAACTTGTCTTCATTAAAGCATTTCAGTGATCTAGGATGGGAAGGGTTTTACTCCGTACGGCATAGTTGGTTAGGTGTATTGCTCTCCCTTTTTGGCATATTTTGTTTCTGGCACCGCCATCACCATTTGCCCAGCATTATTTACTGCTTATATTTGTGCAAATGTGGTTAGGTTAACCAAATAGTGACAGTATTGTTGGCCATTGCTTTTAATTGCCTGAGGAAATAGAATTGCTTGACTAAATTAGCCAGCCATTAATAGATATGTGTACTATAGTGCAATACACTATATGCTATTAATGTGATACTCGTACTCATTTTCAGAGCTTAAACTACTCATCTGTGTGGTAACTGTTACCACAACAATGAAACCCAGCAAGCTCTACCCCAGTTTACTAATGGCACTACACTGCTCCAAATATTTTAATGTGTTTAGTAGATAATCCAAACTCGGCACCAAAATAGATAATCCAAACTCAGCACCAAAAACAGCTAGAGTACTATCGTCTATCGAAAAGTTATTGATGTTCTTGTTGGCCTAAAAATAGTTATGTGTATACAGTATTAGGCTAATTGCAAAGCTTTTGGTATGAATCAAAAGACAAGACTTATAAAATGACACATTTTAATTTTCATTATACAGTATACCACCCATAAATATAATAACCAAAAATGGCAGTGCTGTATAGTATAACCACAAATATTATGGTTTAAATCTTATTTTTCATACTGTTACATGGTGTCCTATAACACAGTGGTCTACATCTTTGGCTCATTACAGTTCCCGGGTGGGACAAATATTGATGGGAATGTTTCGTATCACCTGATATATATCTGTTTCCCAAGGCAACTGTTGAGGGTTACATCCTGGGGAAGATCATCAGTAGTTGGCTTAAGGTGACCTTGATGAGCCTAACAGGCTTCTTATGCTCTGCTATGGCAAACCATGAGGGTGAATCATTAGGAAAAACAACTTGAATAATACACTGTACCTAGTTATCGAATGTTAAGTCCTGTAGTGGGATTGGAAAAAAGTGCCCAATTTTTGGTAGCCCATATACAAGAATGACCCAGTGAAATATTAATGTGATATTAATAGAAATTATAGCAGTGTGTCAGTAGTCCTTGATATTGTTTTTGGTTATTATTTTATAATTTTGCTCCTCATTTGTCCAGATACTAGAAGGCGGACACTCACGGTCGGTGGCTCATCCTTTGTGAACCACTGCCCGTACAGTCCGATACTAATATAGAAGATAGCATGGTGTGCTTGGCATGCATTGGGTGGATTTTTCTTGTTTTCCTTAAGGTGCTTAATCTCCCTTAAACTGTCACTTGTTTTGTTGCTCCTATGATATTTGGTTGAGTTCCCCAGTTGTTTGCTTGATCTCTAATCCCCTATTCCTCTTGCCTCGGCAAGTAATCCAAATTCTGGTCCTGGCTCCTGGTAGGTGATGGATGGGTATTGGAGGATTGGGGCAATGGGCTAAGGCTTGGTGGTACCAGAGTTAACCCAGGAGCTATTAGGGAATGTTGGGGAGTGTAATGGGGGTGGAAACTAGAAAAGGGAATTTCATTACAGTACTTTTATTGCATGATTTTTTACTCCAAGAATATCAATAACTTTCTGAAGAGTCTGGAGCCTAATAAATTTACACACGTGTACTTCTGAATTTTGGTATGCCTGACATTAGTAATATGTGATGGTTTAATTTTGATGTTACCCTGTATCTTTTAAGGATATACATTTCATTTTAATATTATTTTTTTCTGCAAAGTATTCAGATGTTCGATTCTTCCTTAACTTTTGGTGCAGATCTAGTCTCCGTTATAACAGCTGATGGGAGAAACATTGTAGTAAGTTTTATCATTAATGACGGAGCAACTGAGTGATTCTGCTGACAAAAATGCTTTTCATATTGACTCGCTTTATTTTTCTTAACAGTTCATTGATATGTTTTAATATATTATTCAGTGTAAATTTTTTTATAAACAGCAATTCAATGTCGGTATCACATTAATATTTCTGTTGCTCAATTTAAGGGAACACTGAAAGGCTTTGACCAGACTGTAAACCTGATCATGGACGAGTGTCACGAGCGGGTCTACAGCTCCCATCGAGGTGTTGAGCAAGTCATTTTGGGACTTTATGTCGTCAGAGGTGATAATGTGTGAGTAGATCATTTAACTACTGAAAGTGTTTTTCAGAATGTGCAATGACTGTACTGTACTTGACTAATGTCACCACACAGGGATGTGTAAATAAAGTCTAAGATCAGGAAGAAAGAATGAAGTGAAATTTCTAGCACTATTGATGATAAGAATGATGAAAATAATATACCTGGTTGATACCTGGTTGATGGGGTTCTGGGAGTTCTTCTATTCCCCAAGCCCGGCCCGAGGCCAGGCTTGACTTGTGAGAGTTTGGTCCACCAGGCTGTTGCTTGCAGCGGCCATCAGGCCCACATATCCACCACAACCCGGTTCGTCCGGCACTCCTTGGAGAAAATGATCTAGTTTTCTCTTGAAGCTGTCCACTGTTGTTCCAGCAATATTTCTTATGCTCGCTAGGAGGATGTTGAACAACCGTGGACCTCTGATGTTTATACAGTGTTCTCTGATTGTGCCTATGGCACCTCTGCTCTTCTCTGGTTCTATTCTGCATTTTCTTCCATATCGTTCACTCCAGTAAGTGTTGCAGGGTAGGGATGCTTAGTTATCAGTGGTCTGGTAGTCCAGATAACAGTCCTTAGAAATATTGCCGGAACAACCGTGGTTATCTTCAAGAGAAGACTAGATTGTTTTCTAAAAAAAAGTGCCGGACCAACCAGGCTGTGGTGGGTATGTGGACCTGCGGGCCTGTGGGCCCCTCCAAGCAACAGCCTGGTGGACCAAGCTCTCACAAGTCAAGCCTGGCCTTGGGCCGGGCTTGGGGAGTAGAAGACTTTCCAGAACCCAATCAAGCAGGTATCCTCTGCCTCTATTGGGGGACCAGATTCTGGTTGTGGTGTGTCTGATAGGTGCTCATGAATCGATGTAGTTCTTAAGTATTGTATGTCGGCTTGCCAGATGAGTAGCTAGGGAAGATATCTAGCAAGTCGCCAGTAAGGCGTTTCATTACATTCCAGTTGACAGGAGTCTTTAGTAGAGTGAAACAGGTTCAGTCCCCATTAGTCTTCAAATGAGGTGCCACAGTATAAGAGTACAAAAGGCTGCTGGATAGAGAAGTAAGAGGCATCAAAGGTGGCCTGGTTAGTATTATTTTGAGAATAGTGATACAATCTGCAACTCAAAATCATACAACTTTTCCAGTGATGTTAGTGTATGCCCACATATATAAACATTGTATTTCCATCTTTAAAATTTGCTTATGGTGAGGTATGTTGGATAGGCCTTGTAAAGTTCTGTAGCACAGAGGTCAGTGCAATCGGTTGGCGAACAAAAAATTCTGGGTTCAATTCCCCCACAGGACAGAGAGGTTTGGACATGTTTCCCGACACTTGACAATTTTTTTTTTCCCCACCTAACACTCGACCACTTGGGCTGGACGGTAGAGCGACAGTCTTGCTTCATGCAGGTCGGCGTTCAATTCCCGCATTTCCAAATGGTTGGGTACCATTCCTTTCCCCTGTCCCATCCCAAATCCTTGATCCTTGCCCAGTCCCATCCCATCCTGATCCTTGCCCAGTGCTATATAGTCATAATGGTTTGGCGCTTTCTCCTGATAGCTTCCTTTCTCCTTCCCCACCTAACAGAAAATAAGTGTACAGAATTAAGGTAATCATTGTTGGTTGCATTCTGGCAAAGATCAGGCGTTTGCCTCAGGATCTCGGTAGTGTTCCCAACAATGGGAACTAAACCGAGTGCGTGCTGGCTGCCAAGAGATGAGCTGGTTAATTGAAATGCAGTCATTTCTTTATTGATTTCTCACCATAATGACAGGAAAATGATACAGTACATGTAACTGAATTTTTCATTGTTAGGTACCCCGAGAAACCTGTAACTGGATAACTGTTTAACAGAGTTCCCATGGTATTTTGTACCTTGTATCATCTGTATCTAGCTAAATGAAGCCCTCTGGTGCATTCTAGTACAAATACGACCCTGTGGAAGCATTTTGATTGTTTACCTGGTATGTTGCTCTGCCTGACTTTGATTCCTTCTCCCACGAGAGCAGATTCTTACTTTAGAGGACAAGAAGTTGAATAGCTTGGAAATCTGTTATGATATTCAAGCAGTTCCTGATTAAGTTAGACAAATTTGTGATTTAAGTGACTATAAGTAACTAGCATTAAAGTTATTTCTTCCAGAGCCCTCATTGGAGAAGTGGATGAAGACTTGGATTCAAGATTAGACCTTGAAAATATTCGAGCAGAACCTTTGAATGAATGTAAAACTTGATGAACCCTTCATTTGAAATGTATATTGTTAATGGTATGTTGAAAAGCATACGGACTATTGAGTGCAAGTGCTGCTGACTAACATAACAAACATGTTCAGTATAAGAATGAATTGTCATAGTGCTCTTTGGTAAAATTTACCAGATTACTAATGCAAGGGTGTACAGTACTTGTGATTTTCACAAACTATTCAGAATTTGTATGATGTTAATGTTTTACAAGAATTAACTGCAATAGAGACACATGAAAACGAGAGCTAACTTGTCTCTGAAATTTAAAGTGCATTATAGCAAATATACAAAAAAATACAGGACTGATTACCCCTTTGTCTTGTTACTAAGACAGTATTTTGTATGTATGACATGTGAAATGTTTTGCCTTTGACTTGGTTAAATAATAAATATTATGCCCCCTCACAAAAGGCTTTTATTTTACCAAAATTAACCATTATATATATATGGTGTTCCTTGACAATGTATTTTTTGTTCAGTGTGAACAAATTTTCTTAAATGTATCTTTACCTTCCTGTGACATTATTTGTTTTATTTTGCTGTTGACTTGTTTTACTTTCCATTAATAGATTTGGTAATTTTTCTTTTATATGAATGTGTGACTAAACGTGTGTTGAATGAATATTTTGGTTGTTTTAGATGAGGGTTTTGATTGTAAATGTCTTAGGCACAGTCTTTATATGACTATAGCTTTAAGTTTCTTTCACCCTGAATGCCCCTGTTACCTAGCAGTAAATAGGTACCTGGGAGTTAGTCAGCTGTCACGGGCTGCTTCCTGGGGGTGGAGGCCTGGTCGAGGACCGGGCCGCGGGGACACTAAAAAGCCCCGAAATCATCTCAAGATAACCTCAAGATAGCTGGTGTTGGTTAGGGTAATATCCCTAGTTTTATATACATATATACTGTGTACTGTATATCAATAGTCCCTTTATATTACAAGGGGTTCAAGAAGAGGCCCACAACAGTCTCTATACAGGCAGTTTACAGTTATGGTGTGTAGGTTACAGTTGCTAATCTTGCTCTACACCCACCCAACTGGGCGGCAGCTTTACAGTCATGTGCATGCATTAGCTACAGTAAGCAAATTTTGGATACTTCACTAAGATTCCTGGTAGTATATCATTATGAATGAAGTACCTACACATTTATTGGTTACCATTGATGGTGGTATCTCTGACTTCCAAAATTTTGGCATTCCATTATACAGTATAATAATGCAAAGTATGTGAATAGTTCTGATGACACAGAGTTTACATTTTGTCAAATCTACATCAGCAGGTGGTGAAAACTTTCAGAGGTACTGGAAGCTGAGCCTAAGCCTAGCAGTGGTAACATCTAGAAGTCTGCAAATCTTATTGGATGATTAATATATGTGCAGTTCTTGTACATCCATGGATCATTCACATTATTCCTAGAATGATGATAGATGAGGAAATGGTGTGAATTTCACTTTGCCTAAAGTCTACTAGATTTTGTTACTGTTCCAGAATATTACTGTCCTCAGGCTGCTCAAATGCAATCCAAGGCAGTAATTAATTTACTCTTTACGAGCAAATGTTTTGGCTAACTCGTCAGTTCTATCCTGCATTTGGAGATCAATATGGGAAGAAATCCTGAAGAGAAATTCTGACCCCCATCATTGATTATTTTATTATATCTGTGCTTCAGATGCAAGCATGTTACAGTTATGCCTTGGGGAGCCGAGTACAGTCAAGGATGACAAGGAATCGCTTACAATTAACGTGTCAACTTTGGATTCTTATACTTGCTTGAGTGCAAGGATTATGGCAAACAATTCTGTTTGAAGAGCATAGTCCCAGTTATCTATAATCACTCCACACTCATAGGAATAGGAGCCATATCCCTCTGTCACAACAACTGCACTTCCAGCTGTGCCATAGGACTGGTGAAAAGAACCATCAGTGTAAATCATTTGCGAGAGGGAGCGCTCTTTGACCAGAGCATAAATTTGATTTAAGGCATTGTACTTATGCTTCTTGTCAAAGAATGGGATACGGTATTCTCTTAATCATCTTCTTGGTTAGGAAGGTGGGGAGGACAGCAATTTAGAAAGGGATGATCTCACATGGGGCAGAAAAGTATCGTTTCTCTCTTGGTAGATGATGATGATGAACATTATACATTCTGAGTACAGTGGCAGTTTTGGTAATCCATTTGGAGGGATGCTGATCTTCAAGAAAGAAGGCTTGGGGGCAGGGGGGGGGGCTAGCCTAAGCATCTTGATACCAATTAAGAATCTTCACATGTACTTCTTTTCTTATGAATAATACAACAAAACTACTTTTAGCATGCCTCTCAGTACATCATGACACCGCTGTATTTATCCAGCACTTCTTTTACCTACAAAGTTAAGTTGTCTTCACATGTTATGACATCAGGGCTTTCTTAATGTGTACATGCCCTATAGGTATTTATAAGTAACTTTCAGTTAAAAATGAGCTTTACTATGATTCTTATTTTTTTTTATATAATTTTAGCTATAGAGGGGTCTTAATTAATTATTCAAAAATAGAATTTTAGTACATGCATTTATTTTATATTACACATATTTCGACATTACAAATCATTTTCTGCATTAGTGAATGTTGTTCTGCTTCGCTGGTAAGCCACATTGCCATAACTGTCACTAATAACCACATTATTGTCTCTTGGTAAATTTGTTCTGTCAACTTTCACAGCTCCCTTTAAAAAGTCTGGCAGTGCCTGTAGGATATCACTTGCTAGCTTGTCATAATATCCAGTAACTGATGAAGATAAGACATAGGCTTTAGCTTCAGGTGCCATGGCAGTTGGTGAGGTGGTGACATTTGGCAAGGGGCTCATTGAAGTACTAGATGGCTTTTCATAAGCCTCTTCCTCATTCAATTGCTTGGGTTGTAAGGTATCCAATGATTCGGAATGATTTGAGGTTTGTTGATCAAATGGTGACGGCTGGCGTCGAGAGGGAACCGTTAATGGTGAAACTGTAGAGTCGACTGATAAGAGAAGTGCACTTAATTGAGCAAAAGGTAAATGTTGAGGTTTTTGTGATAATTGTAATTCTTTGTGACTTAATCTTGAAGATATATTCTGCTGCCGCTGTGACGACACAGCTTTAGATTCATCCGTGTTGTGTGGCTTGTTTGACTCGATACCTGACCTAGTTGAGGATAACCGAGGAGTTGAAGTTTCTTCATAAGGTAAACCTAAGTTAAGAAGCATTGTTGGTAGTGTTTGTTGAGTCTGAATGGCTTTCTGTATTGGGCTGACTAGAGTTCTCAAAGTAACTAATTCCTGAGAATCATCCTTATTGTTAGTGTCTGTTGGTGAAGGCATAGCACTGAATACCAATGGCAAGGAAGGGATGACATTAGTGTTTTCTTCAGAGGTTTCTGTAACTTGTAGCATCATTCCCTCACCTGGGTCTAATTCTCTGTAGCTTTCACTATTTTCTGTTATATTAGTCTCCAATTGTTTTGGATTTGTGAACTCAATTCTTTTGAGATGCACAAGTTGACTCACTATATTATCATCTCTCATTTCTTCAAAAGTAGCAGACTGATTCTTTCCATTTTGGATTAATGGCTTCAGTGATTCTTTGGTGCTAGGTAAGAAACCACTACTGGTAGTAAATACCAATGAAGAATTGCCTTCAACTTCATGGGAATCGGGTAAAGAAATGCTGGTTTGCGTAATTTGCCCTGCTACTTCAGAGATGAATGTTTGAACTGAAATTGGGGATAAAGTTGTAATATAAGGTACGTTATTTACACCTAATAAAACTGTTGCCGGTATATTTTGTGCAGTATCAGATACTGAAGTGTTGCCCTTGTCTGTGACATACAATGATGGTTGCTCACTGATTTTATCCCCAATAATTTTCCTTAAATTGCTTGAATTTTGTATGGAAAGATGTGTATCTTTTTCATAATCCTGTGGCGTTTGATCATACTCATGATGTGTGTTACCCTCTCTCTGGCTATATGTTTCTTTGGTAACATGAGGATTTTGCAAAGGGCTGGAGATAGAGAAACCAGAAACTGTTTGGGAAGGATCTGGATGTAAACCTAGGATGCCTTTTTCTTTGTCATTGATGATAAGTTCAGTATATGAAGCCTTATCAGGATGTGCTAGAATGAATTTCTGACCACTTGATGGACTAAACTGAGGCAAAATAATTGGTCTTCTGCTATCTGATTTTGCTTCTGCATTTTTCATCAATTTAAACTCCAAACCACTAGCTGGGCTGAACTGAGGCAGTATACCCTGAGAACTCTGCATAAGCACTGGCTGGGGTTTTAAAGATGGGCGATTTTCATGGTTTTTTCTTGTAATCCTTGATCGGAAGCTGTGTCGAAGTGAAGGTCTCGGCACAAACAATCTTTGTGGGCTAACTTGATTTTGCAAAGGACGATTAGAAGGACCATTGACTCTTTGAGATGTTGACTGGCTAGTTATTGGTAACAATAGTACTTCCTCGTTATCCATTTTATTTGAAAATTGAAGACTCTCTCTTGATGGTAAATGAGATGTACTGAGGGTTTTATCTGTCTGTGGTCTCTTGGCAACTTCGAGTATATTTATAGATTTCTGTGTAACACTAACACTGTCACTCAGATGGGAATATTCATTCATTTGTTGTACAAGTGATGTTTGTATGGTTTCTTCTATAGGTGGCAGGGAAACATTTTTGTGGGCTTGTGAAGACTCGTTAACTTTTTGCTTGAGATCATTGGCCACGGTTGCTTTATAAGGTGTTAGAGGAATATCTCGACTTGGTTGCAAAGATTCATTACTTTGCTGGACATATGGAGTAGGCACTTTTTCAGTCACAAATGATGGGGAAGTATTATTACTAATAGGCTGTGAAGGAAGTAACATATTACTTTCAGTTAATTTGAAAGGAATTCTTTCGAGGTTTATAAATGTCGAGTTGGTGTTACTTCCTTCAATTAAAGTAGAAGTATTACTTTGACTAGTTAGTATAAGAGAGAAACCATGAGATGACTCTCCATTTTCTTGCCCTTGGCTCGTTAATGGTAAATCTTCGTGATTGATTATTTGCTCATCAGTATGATTTTTATCTTGAGAATTAATGTGAGGTGATATAGTAATTGCAGCTTGAGTGTTACCAGTGCTTGAGTGCATTTCTTTGCCAGGAATGTATTCTTGGCATGTGTCCTCACAGTCGATTTTTGGAGAAACAAGATCTGCACTTTCACTCGAGTGTTTAAATAAATTCTCAGTGTGATTGGCTGGTAAAGGATTTAGTGACAAGATGGTTTTCTGATTTTCTGTTTTAAATATAATTTCCCTTGGTTTCATTGTGAATGGCTGAACTTTAGTTTTCATGACGGGGGCATTTGTAATGTCAATTTCAGCAGAAGGTGGCACTGTTGTCATGGCAGTC